TGTCATGTGTGTTGTTTCTAACTAACAATTTCATGAAGCATGGTGGAGTTGAGTGCAATAGAACAAGTCAGAGTCAATAGCACGATTATACATTTTATAAATTTTATCATTAGAGCTCATATCGAATTCCTGATTTTTTGTCTAATATTTAAACTTCAATTGTTATATTTAACAAATAGTTAGTAACAATACATGCTGAATCTAATATGAAGTATTTAGTTTATTTGTTGCTTATTTAACATTAGATGGAAAAATAAATACTTAATGAGTTAGGATACAAGGTGTGAATCTAATAAATAAACTAATGATAAATTTCATCAATTCTTGTAGATTTATGTATGCAAGAATTAGATGATCAGTCTGTTTGGTGAACACTTTAACATAATTATATAATAATAATAAAAAAAATTATTTTGCTTTTATTTTAAAAACCTATCTATATATGTGAGATTATAATCCAATAGCTGATGAGCACTTCAGTCAACACTCGACTCAAGTTTGAGATTGTATTTTATGTGTTCAAGTACTCGGCGACCAAATTGAACATGCGTAAATTACCTAAATATTCCTACCTGTAAATTTTTTAATTGAAATTTCGAGTTGATATTTTTGTATTTTATTTTTATCGAGTTGATAAGGACTAAATCCTAGAGCTCGAGTAGCCATAAAATAAATCGGACTTGGCTTGATAAATCCAATGTTTGCGACACGTTTTACGTCTCTAATTTATCTACCCTTGGCACATATGCACCATGACCAAATTAGTTCTATCAATAGTTAATTGTAAATAATTTCTCATCCAATGTTTGAAGCGACACGTTTTGCTTCTCTAAAGAACATTCACATTGCTTTGGGTTCAATCCCCATAAATATATGAACCTAAGAAATAAACTCAGTCTAGAAAAATACATTCTCCAATGCAAATAAAAGTAGACTGGGTCGTGCTGATGTGGCAGCCAGAAAAAGAGACACGATCTCCTCTTAAGTCTATTTTAGACCCAAGTAGAGACCTAGTCTCTTGCATTGGAGTGAATTTTGTTAATTTTACATAATTTTATCCATATTATTAAAGACTTGAGTTTATTTACAGGCAAAACTAGATTTAACACATCATCGTAGATAAGAAGCCAATGGTGTTGGCAATGAATGCAATAACCCGAAGATAGATTTTTTTTTCCCTCTGTTATTAAATATAAACTACCATAGTCTATAAATTCATCTAATTACTCCAAAATGGAAAAGAATCAGTAAATATTTTTCAAGATTTACCTACATCCCCTGATAACATTTACTGCGAACACCCTTTCATAAAATTTGCAATGTCAAAACTCGATGGCCAACATTTTTCCTTACAATTAGGCTAAAACACGAACTATTTGATTAAACACTGTTTTCTTTTGTACCAAAAAANTACTATGTAATTTTACGGTCTTTTAATGGCTGCCCCACATAATGTGGGCTCCATTTTAATAAGTGGGTTGGTGATTTTCGCCACTGGGTCTCTCTCTCTTTTTGGTCGGCTTGGAATCAGATACTCTCCCATTAGAGCAGTAAAGCCCTTAATTTTTTTTTTGCCCTTCTATCCGACCTTTTCTTTGTTTTGGCGTGTTGAGTGCTTGTAAATACCTGTCAAAGATTGAAGATTTTTTGCAACTTTCGGTTTTTTTGGGGATTATCTTCATGCAAGCCTCATTTTTTCCTTAGATAATTTTTTTGGGATTGTCTTGAATTTCTAGTGTTGGGTTTGTCTTTTTCTGGGTTCTTTATAATTTTGCCTGAGAAGGTGTTGCTGAGTATAACTTTGCAGAGCGTGTGAAATTATTGATTGAGGGGCTGGTTGCTGTTAAATATTGTTGTAATTTTTTTCCCTACCTAAAATCTTGTGTATACAATCTGTGGTTTTGATTGTGTACAGTTTGTTGGTTTACATAGTAACATTTCCTTGAAGGCAAAGACTGGATAACTTAGATACATTGGGACTAAGAAACCCAGAAAACAAGTCCTGCAGTTTTTGTTGTTGGTGAAGACTTTTCCAAGCAAAAAAAAAAAACAACTGTTTCGTTGAAGGGAAGATCAAATTTGTCATTTTTCCTTAAGGACTTTGGAAGTTTGTGTTTTAAGAGAAGATGAAAAGTCAAAAAGTCGATCCCTTGACAAACACCAGAGGAAAACAATGACATGGGATTTATCCTCTATTTAGAGACACAGTTTTTCTCCTCAGCATATTGAGAAGGTGTATTGGCCTGCATGTTGTAAGACATTTCAAGTAAGTCCTTTTTCAAATAAGGAAATAGAATTGTATACCAGCTTTCTGTTTTCTTTGATCATTTTCTATCATAATCTCTTATTTTGTTTTAGTTTTCACCTGAGGTACAATCTTGATTTGTGGTATTTGCAGCTCTCTGTTTCTATTTGTCTCCTTTTCTTCTACTTTCTCTTTGTTTGATTTAGCTGTATAATTTTTGGAGATTGCATGCTCTTGTCAGCCTTGGAAGTATTTTCATGATGAGCTAGGTTCTTGGCCAAAACGTTCAACTTGAAATGTTGAATTGAACAGGTGATCACGGTGCATGCTCAAAAATTTGTCTGTAGTATTGTGTACATTAGGTCTTAGCTGATGCTTACTATTAAATTGATTTCTACGTGGAAAAACAAAAAAGAAAAATCTTTTCATGTATGGACTGAACATACTTTTGGGCAATTGTAAGTTTTTTTGAAGCTTAAAGCTCATTATGAATTATCATTCAAACACCCCCTCATGAAGATTGAAATATCTGCTTATCTATGAACTATTTATTCCAATAAAAGAATTTACTCGTGTACACATACTAAAGGGGAAAGCTTTATGTTGTTTGGACCTACTCGGTGAATGGGAACAGAAGCAGGACTTTGAGTAACTTTTTTCCAAGTTTTGTTGGTTGGTATTTTATGACAACGTTGAAATGGCCATTTTGGCTGTCATTTTCTGAAACTGTAGCTGAGACATTAGTCTGCACTAGGGGATTTGCATTCGTTTGGAGGTTTTGGTCTTGATTGTCCCCTTTGAGAATTGAATTTTCTCCATTATTTAGTTGGCGCAAGCTCAACCTTGGAGTTTTTCCTTTTACAGTAGTTGGAACTGTTACAAACTTTGTATTTTTGTTTCTTTTGAATGATTTATCTCGTGTTCTGATGTCTTTCTATGAAGAGATTGAGATTCTTTTTGCCAATTAGTAATTCCTATTTTATTTCTAGTACTAAACTTGCAGCGATTGGAGTATTAATTTAGGTCAGGTAAAACTCAATATGGCGAAGAGATCAAAAAGACGCTCTTCAAGGCATGACAGGGACCATGCGGGTTGCATATCGGGTTTAATTAATGTGTTTCACTTTCGTTCAACTAAACGATATCTTACTGATAGAAAACAAGTGACCAAGCAAGATGAGGGTAAGAGTTCTATTTGTAAAATGTTAATTAACTTTTCTTTATCTTCTTTCAGAATCTGTGATTTTTGGTCTTTAACCAATTGTACCGTCTTTTTTCAGGTACTGGTTATTCAAGTAACGACAACACAGTTTCACAGAGTTCCATTGAAAAGAGTAAAACTTTAGTGGTATGTTATTTTGTTGTGTATTATTATGTGATAATTGGTTTTTGTGTAGGTAGGCCAAACATAAGGGTCCTGTTTTATAGTTGTAGTTTTTTTTTCTTTATTAAGTTAATTTTCTTATTTGCTAACTCAGGACACTGAAGTAAGTAATATTCATATGGCTGATGCATCTAAGACAAGTGTCAAGGATCTTATGGAAGAAGAAATGTTCAACGAGCAAGTCCAAAGGCAACTGAACGACTCCGAAATGGGTTCCGAACAAGTCAAATCAAAATCTGGAAATCATACGAAAAATAATCAAAAGAAAAAAAGTTCCTCCAAGTCCACCGACATGGATTTTGACCGAGTTCACGGCCAGAAGCTGTCGAGTAATTTTGACCTGGAAAAAGTATTGCAAGAGTTGACAGATATTGACAGAAGACACATGAATTTCCTGAATTTTGATGTTGACATCGATGTACCATCCAGTGAGGCTATTGCTGTAGTTGAAGAAAAGTTAGTTCAAGCAGTAAAACTGTTTATGGAACAGAGATCAAGTGACAGCAAGCATTTTGGTGACGAGGGGAACAGTTTTTGCTCCCATGAGCTAATGGATGCTTTGAAATTTTTGAGTTTAAACAAGGGATTATTTTTTAAACTTCTGGAGGATCCCAACTCGGAACTGGTTAAGCACATCCAAAATGTTGAAGACACTTGCTTAAGAAAAAAGGATAAACCAAAGCCTGACGAGTTAAGTAGCCATAAACATAGAAATTTCTTCCGGAGGAGGACCAAGTCTCTCGAAAGCTTTTCCCTGGGAGTGAATAATAGTAAGGATTGCCAATCTCAGGATAAAATCGTCATCTTGAAGCCTGGCCCGCCCACGCCACGAAGCCCGGAAACTGAAATTGCCGATAATGAGAAAATTACAAATGCATCTCAGTTCTCTTTCACCGAGATTAAAAGAAAACTAAGGCATGCTATGGGAAAAGAAAGACGAGGGGTCTCGCCAGAGAGGCCATCTCCTAAACTTTCTCCTAAGCCCTCAAATGGAAATTATAGCGAAAAGTCGGAAAGTTTCGGGTGGAGGTCCCCGAATAGGAATCACTTTTATATGGAAAAATTCACTCTATCTTCTCCTAGCTTCAAGAAGGGTGAGCCAGCTTGCAAGTTGAAAGACGAAGGTTCGGAAAGTCTGAGGCTTGGAGGATCCAACATTTACACTGAGGCTAAGAAACATTTATCCGAGATAGTAAAGGGTGAAGATCAGAATACAGAGTCTGTTTCTGGGAATAATTCTGTCAAGTCCCTTGGTCGAATTCTCTCTCTGCCAGAGTATAATGTCTCCCCTTGCCTTAGCCCAAAAAAGCACGATGATGAAATTTTCATAACTGCTCAAACGAGATTATCTCCACGTGGCACAGTAAGAAATGGCCAAAGTTCAACAGTTCAGAATTTGGAGTGCCAACAACGTGTGTCTTGTAGTAACTCTGACGACAAAGGACAGTCTATGCTTGTGAATGTTAATAATTCAGTAGGAGATGATCAAGACTATTCTTTAGAAATTCAGTGCTTTAATGAAGATACCATTGTTTCTGAAGGTAATTTTTCTAATTTTACCTATTGATAATTATGGAGGACTATAATATTTGGTANAATACAGTTCAACCGGAGATTGAAAGAAAGACTGAATTAAGGGCTCAAGAAGAGGAAAAGGCCATTGATATCTCGTGTGAACCTTCACCTAATTCAGTTGGAAAATATCAGAGTGGAGACACTAGAGAAGAAGACAATGAAGAAAGTGGTTCCCCATGCTTCAAATCGGTAAGGTTTTCCATCCTTTGGTTTTTTCTTGAATTAAAAGAATATTCTAAGCTGATAAGAGGCGAGGATTGAGGCTTTGTATGATGTTGTACCCATAGTCTATTTTCCTAATCTATGCTGTTGGAAAATGAGTTTTGAGAGTTTGTTGGCTTTATATAAGGTTGGAAAATTGGAAAATCGTGATTTCCAACTATAAATATCTTGAAGCAAATATGATTCCATGTTTTGTAAAAAGTACAGAAGTGGAAACAATTGCTTGAAAATGAAACCAGATGTGGCTTCTCCTTGTGCCCAGGTGGAACGTTGTTTGATAAATTATGCTGTTTTTTTCTAATTACTTATTCCTTTGGATTTTTGTCCAGCATTTATCTGCAGACGACCAGGTGTTATCACCACCAACAGGGTCCCCCTCACCCGATCGAGCGAGCACAGAAATTGATGATTCAGATCGTGCAATCAACAAAATAGAACAACCAAGTCCAGTATCTGTTCTTGAGCCGTTGTTCACAGATAGCGATATTAGTACCATTTCTCACTCAGGTCAGATGCTTAATAATGATTAATTAGAAAAATTGCCTAAGTGGTTTAGCCAAGTTAAAAGAAAAACATTTATACTCCGTTCCTCACATTTCTTTTTATCTTATATCCGTATGTCTGTCTAATAGTGTGTTTGGTAAGTACCATAAGCCAGCTTATAGCTTATTTGGTTTGCTTATAAACTTTCTCTAAGAAAAATAAGCTTGGTTTGATAAGACGGACATTTTTAAAAAGCTCGAGCTTATCTCATAAGTTTCTTTGGGTAGTTTTCAAATAAGACAGTTGAAAATTTTATTTCAGCTGACTTATCAACTAATTTTACCGAACACTTTTATCACATCCGCTAGATTTTTAGCCGTATAAGCTCGAAATTCACGCTAGCTTATCAACTAGGTTTACCAAACATACCTTAAATTAAATACATATTTTTTTTGGTAACTAAACTAACCTTCGAAAGTTCATGTAATAATCCGTACCAATGAAAACCTGAAATTATCTCGCTTTCTGTTATTTCATTTTCGTGTGCTATAACTTGTGCTGAAATAAAATATATCGTCTTCTTTTGTGGCTTTCAGTAGAAAAAGAGATTCAGCCACGGCACATCATTTTCGAAGAAGTACAAACTTCCGTTCACGAGCAAGGCATTTGTACAAGAATCTCACTCGAGGACGAGGAATCTGCTTTCGAGTATGTCGAGGCCGTTCTACTCGGTTCTGGCCTGAACTGGGACGAGTTCCTGCTGAGGTGGATTTCCTCTTACGAAATCCTCGACTCCTCACTATTCGACGAGGTCGAGCTTTTCTCGAGCCGGCCCCACCACGACCAGAAACTCCTCTTCGACTGTTCTAACGAGGCTTTAGAGGAGGTGTGTGAATGCTGCTTTGGGTGCTTTAATGGAATACCGAGTGCTAAGCCTAACGTTAGGCCGGTGCCCAAAGGGATGGACCTCATCAACGATGTGTGGAAAAGGGTCGAGCAGTGGCTTTTTCAGAATTCACTGTCTCTGCCTCTTGACGGGCTCGTCAAAAGAGACCTTTCAGGCTTGAAATGGATGAACGTCCAGCCAGAAATCGAGTTTATTGCTTACGAACTCGAGGAGATGGTTTTTGATGAGTTGGTGGAAGAAATTTTACTTGTGTCTAAAGATTGTGCTTTCGAGTGTGAGTTTTGACGTGCCGGAAGGTGTGGAGGAAATCTTTTGGGGTTCTTGTAAAATAAGTCGAGAGTGTGTGCGCGTAGATTATCCTGTGTGTGTTTTTTAGGTGTGTTTTGGCTATATTTGTGCTGGGTTTGGGACTATGGGGCTTTTCTTTTCACTTCCTTTGGTTTGCTCATAGGTTTTGTGGTTTGTAAAGTAATCAGTATATGATTTTTTCCCCACCTGGGATGTTGGGATCTCAGTCCCAACAATAAGCTTGGTTAGACAATACTCTGGATTTATATAATTTCATACTCGAATGACGTACTTTGAAATACAATACAAACAATAGTATAACACTATAAAGTATGCAATTTATGTAAGGAATTATGACTGCCTAACGGTCAGGCAGTCTAAAAACCGTATTTGCACACTCCCAGTTACACATAGAAAACGAATACCAAGTACTCTTTAAGAAACTGGATTCAAATGCATCCCAAACAATGAGAAATCTCTATATATGCTATAGTTTGTATAATCATACAAATGATTTTTTTTTTCTCTCTCACAATTTTCAAATCAAAGTTCACTTATATATATTAGTTAAGTTCAGATTATTTACACAAAACAAAGGAAGAAAATGCAAGGGAGAACCGGCTAGATACGGCCTCAAATATCAAATATAGATGACCTGCAGCAAAAATAATAGTAAGTTCCCTTGTAATTTGTATTTCCTTGTTTAAGGCCAGTTTGTTCTTCGCATTATAAGACATTATTTATCTATTGAGTTCTTCTGCCGTTTTAGGGAAGNTACAAAACGATCACAACATTGCATTAACTAATCACAAATGCTACTAATAAGCTGTCCCGTTTAGCCCACGGGCGTGCTCTTTTTATTTATTTATTTATTTTTTTCTCAGCACTTTCTTTCTCTTTGAGAAAATACAATGTTTACCTTCAAATCTCATATTATTTATACATTTATGTAGTTTATTTAATTACAATAAACTAACTTCTACAGTTTATGATTTATTTTCTTCATTGAACTTTTAAATTGCATTTCTTTTTATTTATAAATAGTTTATGAATGATTCATGTATAGTTTTATTTTAAATGTTGTATTTTTCTAAAGTTTTGAGAAAGTGTAGCCAACACGTAAAAGAGCCTTTTCCTTCAAATCTCCACTAGTACAACACCCGTGATTATACGAGTATATAAAAATTCATAAAATAAAATGTAAGAGATTAGTTTTTTTATTTAAATTTAAAATATTTTTTTCTAAAAAAAATTACTTTACTATTTACATATACAATCAAAATTTTCACTTATTCATTTATCTGACAATGTTTTTTCTAATTCTTATGTTACAATAGTTTTATTAATTTTTTAACTATTAATAGATGATTTAATTTCATACTTAAAATAAAATTATTTATTTTTTATATATTATGGATCTCAAATCTAAAATCATCAAAAAATGATTAATTTGATATATTTTATATAAAAATGTAATAACAAATACAAATATTATTAACTTATAAATATATTTACAATTTAAGTTAATGAAGTGTTTTATAATTCTAAAGACCTAATTGGCAGGAATAGAAATCTAACGTACTTGTAATACTCCAAGCCAAAGGCATAGGATAATAATGAAACATTAGACACATAGATTACGAAAAAATTGAGACGTATGATCGGAACATTCTACATTAATATATACAAAACATTCTACATTAATATATACAAAGGAAAAATATATGGAGGAAAGTATAATAAATGCCTAAACAAAATTGATAGTAAATCTATCAAATGACAAGTTTTGAGAAAGTAGGAAAATAATAATAATAATAATAATAATAATAATAATAATAATAATAATAATAATTGCTTCTATCTTCAAGTTTAACTACAATTCTAATTCTACGGTTTTGATGGAATTTACTATTTACTAGTAGAATACCCGTGTACTACACGGGTACTTGTTAAGAAAATTATATTTAAAATTAAATAATAATATATTAATAACAGAAATATTTTTTTTAAATACATTTTGAAAAAATATATTATTATTTATATTTAAAATGACATTGTCACTTACACAACTTACCATCTTATATTATAATTTTTTATTAATTTATATTAGATAACTACATCGTAGTTAAGTTAGTTTAAATAATTTTATTTTTTTGAATTAATATTAATAGGTAATTTATTTTTAATTACAAAGATGAATAAAATTATTTATTCATTTTGTATGTATAATATAGATGTCAAATCGAAGATTATCCAGACATGATTAATTTTATATATTATATATTATATATAAAAAATTGTTAATGAATAAAAAAAATTATTAACTTTTAAATATATTTATAATTTAAGTTAGTAAATTTGTTATAATTTCAAAAAAAAAAGAAGAATGGAAAAAGGTTATACCTTATAAATCACTTCTACAACAGAAAAGAGTATTAAAATATAATTAATGCTCTTAAAAAGGAACATAAATATTCAGTATATTTATGGATATTCCATGCCTCGTTACTTTTGAATTGGAAATAATTCTTTATCCAAGCTAAACAACAAAGCTTAAAAATTCTATTTAGACTCAACACATTCAGGATTTATATATGGAGATGTTATGTTTGGTAAAAGTAGTTGATAATTTATAAGTGAATTTTGAGCGTATAGGTGATAGATTATGAGTGTATCTGCTAAGAACCATAAACTAGCTTGTAGCTCGTTTGGTAAAAATGTTTGGTAAAATTAGCTGATAACCCCAACTGAAATAAAATTTTCAACAAGTTTATTTGAAAAGTTACCCAAAAAAGTTTATGATATAAGTTCGAGCTTCTTTTTTTTTTTTGGAAAAAAGCTCGTCTTATCAAACTGAATTTATTTGTATACAAAAATTTTATAAGCTAACTAAATAAGTTATAAGCTGACTCATGCTGCTTATCAAACACACTTTTAGTATTGATCAATGGAGATGCTAAAGCTTAAGTTTTATCATGGTGTTTGAAGAATTAAAGTTATAATTTTTATTATAGGTGAAAGAAAATTCAACACTAATAAGCGTGTGGATGCTAAAATTCAAGTGTTATCATGGTGTTTAAAGAATTATTCAATGTTAATACTAAAAGTTATAATTGTTATAAAGAAAATTCAACACTATTTAGCAAAGTAATAATCTTTCTCTTCTCCAACCACTGTTCATATCCACCATTCTCTCGCCCTACACCCTACAGATCCCATCTATTTTCATAAAAGTTGTGCATGTGAGCAGGAAAACATGAAAACAAAAAAAGGAAAATAATAAAGAATAACAATAAATACGAAAAATAAAGTGGGTATGTATTGAACAAATGACTTTAGTTGTAATTAAAATAAAAATACAAAATATGATAAAGCACACCAGCAGCGAAGCAAATTATGTTTTCAATATCACAGAATCATTTTCCTTATAATAACTGATTTACCCCATCTTCTTCGCCATATACCTATAATACATGCAGTTTAAGGGTTGAGAAAACACACTAGCAACCAAAACACAGT